GTCCCTTTTTATACCCCGAAAATCGTGTCTAAAAGTAGTGGGGACACGCCTGTTCTCAACGGAAACTGTTTTCCCAGAAAATCTGGCCACGCCATAACACCCCGTGGGCAATTACGTAATCTGGCCGGATGCATTCCAACTCCTGACAGGGTTAAGAGGTCACGAGAGTATCTTTGTACGTAACACCTTTGTACAACCCGTAGAAGCATTCTGAGAACGCCATTTTAAGACGCAAGATGCAACTTTAACTTGTATCGCCGGGGGGTATCACCTCTCTAGGCTCCTATAACGCGATAACGTTACAAATGTGAACATAGTCCAGGTGTTACGGACATTATCCAGCTTTCTTACGAGTGCATTACTGCTATATGTATACAGTTCGTTTAGCGATTGTCATTTACTTTTATAATTCCCCAGTAAATCTTTCAGCTCACATTTAACTGTTCATTACCGTTTATCTTCCCATCGTCTTGTACTTACTGGAATTTAACTGTTTTAAACTTTGGATGTATTTATAAGGAGTTTTATTCCTTTGGCCATAATACTTCAATTAGCATAGGGATACATGATGCTTAGGCATTTGAACATCTCGGTATTTTCTAGTAATTGCATCATTCCAAACTATGCAGAGTGGTCGAATAGGCGAATTAAATAGCAATATAAGTACATTGCAAATGAATATTCACGGTTATTTAATTATTCATTTTGCATTATCGTAAGAAAGTGATGATTATTTGAAAAGATTTCATTTTAAATATTGCCCAAGAGTTCCTTTGGTTAGAGGTCGTCGTTTCTAATTATTGGAAATCTAATTGTAACAGAACAAACTAGTGGATGAGGTTAATAAAATGATTAAACTTATTAATAATTTTTAATACTAGCAAATTCTGAGCTCTATTATAATATTTAAATTATGTTTGCCGAACGTTTCAATAGTGATAGTGTAAAATTGACCATGTTTCCTATGTACCTACGTTTTGTTTATAAAACTACCATTCCTTGCATTAAAATAACGTCCTTTACACGTTTAACATATTGCTACTCTGCTACAAAATAGGTATATCATTCTCGTTATGAGATGTATATTGTCACGTAATTATTTCTTAATTATTAAAATAGAATAAAAATTGTTTATTAAAAAAAAACATTTCAGTGTGCATGCACCAACTATTATCTGAACGCTAAAATGTGGAAATAAGAGGCGAATGCAATGAAAGTAACAATGAAAAAATGCCTTTTGATTCTAAAACATTTATGATACTACATAGAAGATCTTAAATGATTTAAAGTTCAGACGCTGAACCAGAAGCAGTATGTAATTCATCGTAGTTGATCCTGTTAGCACATTGCACATAGATCACGAGGTACCGTGTTGTAAACTTCTGACTTACTTGTCGAATGATGATTAGCCAAATTAAAATAATTCATTTGGTAGTTCAATAATAGTGTAAACTATAGTGATAGTTTATTCAATAACGTGCCGTATGCAATGTATTAACTCGTGCAATTTACAATTAGCCACAAAACAAGCCTAAGCGCGTTGTTAATAGTTGTTTTACTTTTAATTTTTTGTATTGTTACTTGTATTATTTTTTCTGACACAAGGAATAATAGCTACTAGGAAACTCAGTTTTTGACTCTACGAAAATTCCCAAGGCCGAAGAGCGATATGGTACAAAATATTAGAAATTACAGTAGTTCTGAAAGACTTCCTAACATTTTGCAGTACAGAGTTACAACGCTAGAAATGTTCCTTTTCGCCTGTACAATATTCAACTATTAAAATCCACTTGTAGCTAATTTGTTTAAGTAATAATCTCATCACTGAGTATGTAAACAAAATGTTAAAATAGTCTTAAAATAATAATTTCATTTTAACGCACACAAGTTAATTATAAAGTTTTTAAAACACTGTACTGCAGAAATTTAATAAGTGAGTTCTCCAGAAAATGATTGTCATGGATGCTCATATACGCTACGAAATCGGCTAGAGTTTCTATACTACAAACATGAAGACAAAATGGAAAAAACTATTTGACTTCCCAAGGTAATTATGGATAGGTCAATTGCAAACAGTTTCAGCTGAGTAACAAGATAATCAGTAGATCGTCCGAATTATTTCTTTATAAAACTCACGACTACTTCAGTCGAGCAATCATTCTTTTCTTTTAGAAAGTAACAGATATTTTGAAAAATCGTTAAAACGGTGAATGTATTCAATCCAATAAAACGGACTATTATAATAGACGCTAGGTTCGACGACAACCCCATTGTCGTCGAAAAAGTGACTTTGTACAGGAATTTCGTATGCGTAACTACAGTTCCGCGGCCCAATGAAATACTATGACTCTATCGTAAAACATGCGATAAAGCATCGAATGAATGGACGCACGGGGAACAACTTCGTATACCGATCACTTGTTTCACGGCCTGCCGCTGGACACGATGTTATGAAATAAAATTCTTCATCGACGAGGCCAGAACCTGCCAATCCACGGTGTGGCAACCGGCTGAAACGCAAATATCAAACGTGCCGTATTTTGGCCACAAACACGATGGAATGCGCGCTCCCACGCGCGTCACACAGCGCAAGCATCGTGTTCACATTCGTTTCCCATTTCGAATATCCGGCTTAGGCAAGTGCCAACCGCAGCCTTCGGGATGGTATCTCGAATACGGTAGCCTTCCCCTGTTCCTCATTTTCTTTGCTCGCCCCCTCCCCCCAAACCAGCCACTATTTTCTGTCGATCTATCTTGCTTCGTCCCTGTTCACTCTGGTTTCTACTCTCCCTTTCGCTCTCCACTTTTCCCCACCGACTTCCCACCGCCATCGTCGCGTTTCTTTTTTTTTTCCCTTCGGGTTTCCTTCATAAATGCCGCAGTACACACGGCTACACGTGAACTTCCTCCGCGTAGTTTATTTTCTGTATCGACTTCGCTTCCGTTAGCGTTCTCTTCAACCGTGTGGCATATGGATTACACTGGGTGTCGGTTTCTCCTCCTCCCCTCCTCCACCCCTCCCTTTTACCCCTCTCTTGTATCGAAGCCGCGGCAAGTCGTACGTGAAACTCCCACGCTTTGCCTTTATGATCGTCGCTGGAAATATTGTTCCAGTAACGATATGCTTGCCAGAACGTTTCACAAGCTATACATATATGTATATCGAAATCTTTTTATAGGAAAACAGTGGCGAACGTGAAATCCTAAGTGACAAGACGGTATTCATTTTTCTTCTTTTATTCGCAACCTAAGGGAGTCCTTAACAAGTGGATTCAAGCTGTTTTGCATTCAGCTTTTGTTTTGTAAATGAACATTTAAAAGTGATTATTTGCTTGAATATTACAATTTTAAATGCAATTGTTACTATTTAAAACATGTTTAATCATTCGTAATGAAAGGCCATATGCAAGTAATTAAAAAGAACTTGCAATAACTAATTACTGTTTTTCGTCTTCGGGTAATTAAATAATTTTTTAATTGTTGCATAAAGACGAAGTATTAAGATTTAAGTGATGACAGTTCTCTTTTTGCATCTCCTTTTTTATTTTAGTTGTAAAGATATCAGAAATTGAGACTAGACATACTTCACTCTGTCAATACTTGATGTATTTCTAACTTATTCTCAAAGGCATAGTAGTAAATTGTTTGATAGTACTAGAGTTGAACCTTGATTATTGGAACACTCTTTATCAGAACGTCGCCTAATTCAGCGGTCCATTATGCGAACTTCTACACACGCGGCAGAAACGCGTTTCAAATGGATGTTTGTTAATTCTGTATGTTTATTGAATACTGTATAGTGGACTGTGATTTTTTGGTTTTACTAGTTTGCATAATTGAGGTCTTACTGTACCATATTCTGTAAACGTATTTGTATTTAAATACAATACTAATGTTCTCTTGACAAATCATTATTATGTGGAATAGCAAAAACGATAATACATAAGGGTATCTATATACAAGCGAATCAACAAAACAGCAATTGCATGGTTCGGACGCGTCTTTATTACTCCAACATTTTTAAGAACAAGAAAATAAAAAGTACAAAGGAAAAAACAAAAAATAATAAGGAAAACTAAACCAAAACTACTCAATTTCGGCTACAATTGAATTATCATTAATCATTTGCAACCCGCTTCTCATGAGATTCTATCAATGATACACACATTGTTTGCATTCTCGAATAAAACTTAAGAATAATGCAAAAAATATCGATTTTACATAAGTTAAGTGATATTTAAGATTGTGACAATTCATACTTTATAATACTTCATATGAATTTAATTATCTCGTTAAAGATATAGGTACTCGCGACATAATAATGATAGGATAATCATAGACAAATATCAGTGTCTAGGAATATAATTCTTACGTATCACATTGTTAATAGTACATTTCATTTAACATTTCTTCCGTTCAATTGAAACACAATACATCTTCGCATTCGACGTACGTAATTAAAACGGAATAGATAAGTATGACGTATATGTAATATACATTTACGGAGATTTAAAGCAATCACAAATATGTAGGTACATTCATATCAGAAGATGATGATAAAATATCTTTTAATGTTTATTATCAATAGGCAGATGTTATCTAAACACGATCCAAATTAAATCATTTGCAAACGATTATTGAATAACTACTGTCACTTGATACTAACAAAAAAAATTGTTTGTAAGCTACTACACTGTTGTAGCGCTCTGCATTAATGGATTAAACAGTAAAAGCAAACATAAAATTGCCACGATGCCATTTCCATACAAGTTAAATAAGAGGCTACTACAATCGACATGGAATTGTCATGGCCAGTCTTAATTAACCCTCGATTAAAGTTTAAAGTCCATGTGTGATGTGAAGCAGTACGTGGAGAACTAATTAGAGAAAACCGAGTTAATTGACATTCTCTTGCTTAGTTTTAATTAGTTCAGCAAATAGATTTAGGTTAATCGATTGCAACGACGTTAAAGGAAATTTCTATGTGCTTCTGTTTACAGGCCGAGGAGTTGAACACCCTTGTTGGCAATGCTTTTCGTATGGCATACGTGGCGCAACTTCAGCGCCAACCGATCCTTCAGGATGTGATCTCACCGCAGTCATCGCCACCCTATCGCAAAGACAAACAGGAGACTCGGTCCTCGTGGGTACGTATTTTTCTTCGCCTTCTCATTGTCAGATCACTTTCACTTTCCCTAAGCGGACACTTTATTCTTACCCTGAAAAAACTAGGTTCCCCTTATGAACATTTCGATGAATATAAACTACAATTTTTGTTGAAAATTGTTATACATAAGATCTAGATGTATTCTGGAAAAAGATCTTTAAGGTTTTATAGCCAGGTTTGGAGTAGATGTACATTCAGTGTACATTTCAAGTACATACATTCAATGTATATGTATAAAGATATACATATACTGTATTGACATTAAAGCACACCATGTTAAAACAAGTATATCTTCACTGGGAACCCTCCTAGCTCCAAAAAAATATCCCGAAAATATCGATACAAGAAAAATCACAAAAGTACATTATTTGAGAGAAAAATATTCAGTTAAATTTACAAATTAAAATATTTTAGAAATATTTATGAAGCTTACAATTATTATTACATTTCCAGTATCAGTAATATGTAACATTATATAAGAATATTTATTACTTTATGTAGGATAAAGTTAATCGGCTATAAAAAAAACATTTATGTGAGAAAGTAATTTTTGCAAAACAGAAAATCTGTTAGAAACATGACAAAAATTTCATTGTATCAGCATTTCGCAGTTCCATCCTGCGGACTTATTTAATTCATATATGAACAAAATGCACACGTGGGTACGGTTTTTATTCAAAGAATTGCCCTTTGCTCCAATCGTTTTTCATTTGATAGCAATTTTTCACGGTCGAACGTTCCAAATAATTGCCTGTCGCCGCATTTTAACGGAACAATTTGTCAGAAACGAAATTCTCTCGCGACCCAACCAGAAAGCCCGAGAAGACGTGGTAAAGTACGTTGTTTGGGATTTGCGACTGGAACATGAAAAAAAATTCGAGGGACTTGTAGAAACATTTTTTTTTCTAAATATGTACGAACAAGGGAAATGTAAACGGTGTGTACCACGGATTCTGTTAGGGGCATTCGACTCCAGTAGAGGTGTCCCGTTTGCAGGCCGCGTTAATTATAAATTCGACCCAAGTCTTCGTAACTCCATCCCGTCTACCAGTAAACGGTCAGTTCCTCGCGACCAGCCCGCTAGTTCTACCTACGCAATCGTCTTGGGAATCGTAAGAATCTGTCGACAAACTATTCATCGGCCACCAGGTTTCGTTGTACTACCTCCGAATCACCGGACCTCGAACTATTTTCGAACTAATATTGGCAAGTAAACTTCAGGGCCGCTACACGATCTCTGATACAAATCCGGTCCTACTTGTGAAACATTCAGCACAGTGCAATTTTTTCCCTAGCGAGCACTGCTTGACCACTGTTGAATAGCATTGTACACTCCTCGTCTTTAAGGTAGCTTCCGCGTTTGGTGTCGCATCTAGTTGGGGCTTCATATAGTGCTTTATACTTTTTATCAATTATACCAATTTCATTTGAATGATTAATACTTCAAACTACTTCAAAATACTTAAATAGAATCAAAATTTACGTATAAGTGAAAAAAACAAAAAGTTTTTTCCTTATTGTAAAAGAAAAATGTATTTTTAAATTTTTAAGAGAAAATTGGAAAGTTCGTCGAAAAAATCAAAGGAAAACAAACGACGTTCACGTTCACAGCAGACATGCGTAGAAGATACTTACCAAAACGTATTGAAACCTAAGTTTGCATACTTTGATCTTAATTTTTAATTTTATTTGATCGTCAGCATATCTTTTTTTCCGTGCCATCATAATCTCCGTAAAAAAATCTGTGAGCACCTAATTTTTTATGAAAATGTCATTTTTTGTAACTAAATAAGAAGTGATTAACTTCTCAGTATCAACTACAGTTCCATAAGGCACGCGTTAAAAAGAAATTTGTATAATATTTCTTTTTCAATAATTTTATCGTTGACCTTTTAAGAATGTTCTGTTAAATTTTCAACTAAATTTATAATTATTCAAAATTTGCGCGAGCCACCTTAAGCACACAGTGTTTATCTTCGTGTAAGTATGAAATTATTATTTCTGTGGATCGAAAGAAACTCTGTATTTTCGAAAGTATAATTTTTTTCAATCGAAATGCGCATCTCGTCTGCTGGAATTACCACTTCTCCATTAGGGGATGTTTTATTTCTTAGGAAAGGCTCCAGATGTTGGAGGAAAATTTGATGAACAACGTGGATGTGGTCAGATTTCGTTAATTCGGATAACTTTTTTATGATTTGATTTGAACTTATACAAAAGAATTAGCCGCAATTCATTGACATTAACAGTATGTTATTTACCTTTCTAAAACGGTTGAACAATGAGCAAAACAATTCAATCACCAAAGAAAGTAGGGGAACACAACACTGTGGTATTACCTAATAATATAATTAACAGAAACTTGGACTATTGTAAGTACTATTACTATAACTAAGGAGTAACTTGATATAAGCGAAATAGTATAATTGTTTTAGTCAATATATCTGTTTACTTGTATAAATATTAACTGAATGCCTATTTCATACTTTTTTAAAGTCTAAGTTTTTCGTTTCATAGAATGAAAGTAAAAAGTTACTACACATTAGAACAAAAATCAGTATTAAGAAACACAAGTGAACTTATTATTTGTACTTTGTTATCTTCCAATAACTTTTTTGTTTGGACTATTGATTATCGACAAATACCTGTATTTCTTTTATCACAATTCATGCGTTAGTATAAGCTAGGTCAAATATAAAATGTAATACATCGTTTTCGCTCATTCTTAATTGCATCCAAGTGATTGATTATCATTAACAATATATGTATTGGGTCAGTGCAAAAGTTTTAATGGATTTTCTGCAGATGATATAAATTATACTGTTAGAGTATTGCATTATGAAACCATGCCAGTGTGTACATTGTCGTGTGAAACAAAAATTCACGTGACTGAGTGACTTTTATTATTTTAAAACAAAATTTAGTATAATTTTTTATAGGCTATGGAGCCTATACGTTCATAAATTGTTACGTGACATAATTGTGTACGAATTTTGTACAGGAATAACCATTACAAATTCCGTAAGAAACATTTGTGATCTGTTCAGAGAAGCTAATGGCATCATTTTGGACAACCGAATATGCAATAAATTGTAAATTTTGTTAGTATAATTAAATTATACAGACTTAATAATAACAATGATATTCATAAAATTTATTTAGTACAATAAAAATTTGTATTGAAAGTACATATACTATGACACAAACGCTAGGTATGTACTTCATTAACACGTTCCGTGCCACATGTACTACTGGTAGTACACGCGGCCTGAATTGAAAGTTTAACGTGTACCATCGGTGGTACATGTGACACGGAACGTATTAATGTCGAACTGTAATTTAAAACAAGACCAACAGCCTCTATTAACAAAAGACACATATTTTTGATAATTTATGACTTGAAGAACGGAATAAAGAGTGTCTGGATACGTATGGCCTTTTTCACTGTGGCACGGAACGTGTTAAATTACCGTTGAATTATAATTGAAAAATATTATTAGTCTATTCTTTTCCAGCTAAACCTATCAAAACCTTTGCACTGGCCTAATATTAAAAAATAAACAGAATAGTGAATAAGTACGAAATCCACATCATACCTAATATCAATTTCACTTACATATATGAAAGCAAAGGTTTCAATATAGGATCATTCCACGCGAAATCGGACACTTGTTGGAGTAACATTTCGGATTTTGTTGAAACTTGGATATGTTATAGTCTTTAGTAATAACGTAGTTATACTACACAGTAAGTAGATAAACGTATCTCGAAGGAATTTTGAAAATAAAGTTTTAAGAATTGTTGACTTTTTAGCTGTTTGAAATATAATGTCAATCTTGTTTCATTGAAGTATAACTGTTGAACCTAATGAAAGAGCCTAATGAAAATGATTTCCGTTGAATATATATTTTTTAACTTTTTATTCTGTAATTGTTTTAAAGAAATGCAATTTTATAACAGTGGAGCACTATTGAAAAATTTGAAAAAGAATGAGGATATAGTCCTATTTGTTCTCTTTATGATCCAATTTAAAAAAATATAGTCACTTCAAAATTGATCATATGAAAATTAATTGAAGTTAACGCTGCTGGTACTGCACAGCTTGGCCGGTGGAGCCGGTGTGCTACACGGACCGTTAACTTCAATTAATTTGCATGTGGTGTAGAAACTGTGCATATTTTTTAAAATTGGTTCATAAAGAAGACAAATTTCTATTTTATAGTTCTCTATATCCACATTCTTTTTCAAATTTTTCAATAGTGCCCTGTTATTATAAAATTACATTTTGTTAAAACAATTGAAAAATAAACGGTTCAAAATATTTTTTTAACTGAAATAATTTTTATTAGGTACTCCTATGTCTCGACTGTAAGCACCCACAAAATTTTTTTCCATCCGGTTTGTTAGTTCAACAGTTATAATTTATTGAGAAAAGGTTGACATTATATTTCAAGCACTTGTAAAATCAACAATTCTTTAAATTGTATTTTCACATTTCCTACAAGATACGTTTATACACCACTAAAGACTATAACATATCCAAATTTCAAAAATATCCAAAATGTTATTCCAAAAAAAAGTCCGACTTCACATGGAATAACCCTATACATACATAGTAGTTATTATAATTCAACATTAAACACTTTTTCGTATCTAATTAACAATTGGTTCCCCATTATTGCAGAACAAATCGCTGGTTGGCGACAGCTCGATCGCCGGCGTTGGAGGTGGTTGCAGAAATTCATCCTCGAATTCGTGGCTAAAAAGTCGAACGTCGCCCACGTCCAGAACTGGAAGCGGTTCGTCTACGGCGGACATGAACGTACAGCTCGGCAGCGCCGGCTCGCCCACGCTGCGACTCGCGAGCGTGAAGGTACGCACACGCATTCTAATTCTTCGTATTTCTACTGAATGGCTTTTACTTTACGGCACTTAACTGTTTTGCAACGGTTTTCAGACTGAGTTTCAATAGAGTTGCGGCATGATTCAATGGCTTTATACTCGCAATTTCATCAATATCCACCTAATTTCACTCAATACCATACGGGGCACGATTTTTATCTTAATTTTGTTTATGCAATGCGTGAATAGTGTCGCATATGGCACCGATTAAGTAACTAGTTGTAAATGAAGTTCTTGATAAAAACACAAGTGTATGAGGTTCTTTAATATGTGTTTATTAAGAGTTTATTTGTAATTTAAAAAAACGTAAACTTATACTTTTAATAACGTAACAAATTTTATAATTTATACTTAAAATATTATGATAAATTTGAACTTTCGTATTAACAAATTACATTTGTTCAGTGCAATCAATATAAATTGCTAATCTGTGTTCAGCACATAATGCACACTTGCATTTAACAAATATATTTCGTACCGAAACGTGGTGTCGTATGTGACACAAATGCAACTGTCTTCGTAACCGTATTGCTCCACTACGTTTTAATCACTGGTACTTACCCGACAGGTATAGTAAATTACGCAGCTTTTCACGCTTGATTATGTCAATAAGGTCGAACTAAATATTGGCGGTATCACTGTGTTACTAGTATAGGGTTAATTGTGCTCACCTAAATTTTCTTCACACACATTCGAACTACCTCGTCCGAGATGTGTCGAAATCCTAGCAACGTTCATCGTGACATTAATTTAACCATGTTTCTTCTTTTCACGAAACTAGACACCAAACTCGATCCCTGGTCTACGACCGACGCACAACTTCACCAACGTTCTCGGGCCCATAACAAACGAGGACGAACCAAAGAGTATCTCGCAACAAAGTACACCGAGCAGCGACGAGAGCAACTCGCCCACAGAACTTAACTCGTACAAGAGGCTAACGGACAAGCCGCCTCTGATAAAGCGGCTGGCGATGGGTTTGACAGGTGGACGTGACGTTCTTGGGTTAAACGGTGAGGATGACAGCTGCCCCCTCGTCAGCGGTAGCAGCACGCCGACGAGCCCCTCGAATAGGCCGCATTCTGGGGGTTACATAAACGAGACGATTATCGACTCGGAGGGCACCAGGCCGACCTACAACAAAATACCCCCGTCCGAAAGTTTGGATAACACTATCAATGCGTCCATCACCGCGAAAAACTACAACATTGAGAACAATAGGTAATTCACGCAAACGATCTTTACTTGAGACACAATGAGAAGGAAGTTCACCCCTTTGACCATTGGACTATAAGAAATTATAATGAAACTATATGTCTGGGGCTATGATGTGTGTGTACATTGTGATTAGTTTTATTTTCAAAGCAAAATACTGATTGTGTGTTGATTAGAGACAGATAAAGAAAAAATATCACTGATTTAAACGAAAATACTGATTCCGTCTTGGTTAAAGACAGTTGTAAAAAACCACTTACTCAAAGCAAAGTACCTACTGATTCTGTATTAGTTAGAGACAGTTTAAGAAAGAAAATGTTGAAATGTGTCGTTACACTTCTCTATTGATTCTCTAAAGAATGACACCTTGCTCATAGGGTTCCATCACCTTGCACGGAATGACATTGAGCCAAAATTACTAAATGAAACCATCCGAAATTTAAATTCTATGAACATTCATAAAACTTAAGAAACGGACATTCCTAGAACGTCCGAAATTTAAGTCTTGAGTACATCCGTAAGACTTTCAGGACGGACGCTTCTAGAAAATTCGAAATTTAAGTCTTAACTGGACATGAAACGGACGTCCATTGGATGTACGGTATCTGGGGATACACATTTCCAAAACAAAATTCCACCGTTAAAGGGTTGACGCATTCATCGCCGTGTCGGTCACTGGTGATCACCATGTAATATAAAGTCAAATGTCAAATAACAAAATCGGCGTATACAGGAAGAGGCTCCGCGGTAAACGTGCCAAAAGATAATACATTAAAGATTTTTCTTTTAAGTATTCCCCTTGGGATTTCATTTTCCTTGTGAAAAATTAAATATAAATTATTTAGTAAAAGGAAATACGTTCAAATAACGTTTCCGCAAGAGTATATACTGTAGTGGTGTTTTGCTTTTATGCGTGTGGACTTGAAATAAGGAATTCAAGACGTAGTATTTTTTACAAAGTAACGTTTCAATTTGTTGGAATGAAAAATTATTAAAAGTACTGCTCGACAGAGGTAATTGCTATTTCAGTAAACAAATAAAATTTATTTCCCATCTGTGTTTAAATTATGAGATAATGGGATCTTACGAATAACTTGATGAATAGACAAAACATTTTGTAATATTTTGTTAAAATTTGGCTTTTTTTGTGCGTCTATATGTATAGTATTAGATTAGCTAAAGAAAGTATACAGGGTATTTCACCTAACTTGACCACCTTAAATATATCGCTTATTTTGTATGATAGAAAAAATATCAGGGGAGAAAAATATTCTGTTCGAAGGCGCCAATACGGTGATGGGCCGAAGTTTTTTCTCAAGGTCATTTTTTTTCGAGATTTCAAGGTCATCGAATTTTTTCTAAATGGGACTACATATTTTCACTACAACACTCTTATAGCATATAAAAAAACAAATCCAACGAGGTGCAATATGTTGACCTTCACGTGACGTTTAGCGAAAAAATCATGAAATGTTTGTCAGTAAGCTCAGTACGCGTTCGGGGACGGTAAATGAAGGAATTTCAATTTCATTGCAACAGTTTTTAGTTAAATCTTTATTTTAGAAGGTGTTCAAAATGTGCACCATGTACCTGGATACCTTTTTGGAGGCGGTAAATAAATTCTTGCTGTACATTTTTAAGTTGCTCTGCAGTAATTGATCTACATTCATGTAGAACCCTTTGTCGCATGTTTTCTACTGTTGTGGGAACATCATTGTAAACTTTACTTTTTAGGTGTCCCCACAGAAAGAAATCAAGTGGCTTACCTTAACCCTAAGATTTACTTTGATAATAATGCTTGTAAACATACTTCAGCCGATGAAAGGAGAATACGAATGTCTGTTTACAAGCACAAGGGACAATTACACGGTACACTGTTCCAATGAAATTGAAATTCCTTCATTTACCGTCCCCGAACGCGTACTGAGCTTACTGACAAACATTTCATGATTTTTTCGCTAAACGTCACGTGAAGGTCAACATATTGCACCTCGTTGGATTTGTTTATTTATATGCTATAAGTGTACTGTAGTGAAAATATGTAGTCGCATTTAAAAAAATTCGAAGACCTTGAAATCTCGAAAAAAATGACCTTGAGAAAAAAATTTGGCCCATCACCGTATTGGCGCCTTCGAACAGAATATGTTTCTCCCCTGATATTTTTTCTATCAAGTTAGGTGAAATACCCTGTATAATGCATTTCTGTAAACTACAGTGAATTGCGTAGGTATGTATATCTAAGAAAACTGGTCGTACATATATTCATAATTATGTTACTATGTTATTACATAGTTATACATACAATTTGATATTGCAAAATTGATCATACTATACTATAAAAACATGTTTTCATTCTTTGTACCTGCATGACTTAAAACGAGTATCTTGTAAACAATAGTTTCGAATTAGAAAATGGCCTCAATAATCCACGTAGTTTATTCTTTTTCTCCCTAAAATTAAAAATAAATGTCGTAGGCACGGAACAGGAAATGCATCTTTGTTGAAGTCCAATTTTTGTAAATTAATCTATAAATATAAATTTGCATAAACATTCACAGTCAAGTCAGCATGATAACATTAAATGTCAAGTCCACTGTAATCTAGACCCACAAACGTTTAAACCGTTTACTAGAGTTAAAAATATTAAGTTAAAAATACTAGAGTTAAAATTTTAAGTTAAAAGATAATTATTAAATTTACAGGATAGGCCACAATTTCCCAAGTTCAGGAACGGAAACAGAATTTAAGTCAAAGAGAAGATCTCAAATCAGTACATCGAGCAGTTCGGTACCTGCTGACGGAAGTACTCACGGATCGACACCAACACCTCCACCCTTACCTGAAAGAACGGACAGCTTGAATAATCGCTGCGAGGAAGCCGAATTGCGTAAAGCTCCGTGGTTTCAAGCTGGAATACCAAGGTACTTATTCGTTTGTTTTTTTCCAATTGATTCATATTGGCATTTTCCTCTTTGAAAGAAAAATATAGTCAGTGAATTTTCTACTTTACAAGACTATTAATTATTTTGATAATCAAATAAATGTATTATTAGATACATGAACAAATAACTTGTAATCTATTCAAAATAGTACAACATTCCTGTATTTGCTTCTGTTTAATTATTCGCCAAGAAATGATGATATTATGCAGTTCAATGTTTTTAGGATATTATTATGAAATGTACGCACCCGTCCATGAGTAATTGAACCGCTGAAATCAGTAGATATAAAATAAAAACGAATTAACATTACGATATTACTTATGTTATGATATAAACAAATTCTTCTGAATGTTTTGCACTGTTAAAACAATGTAAATTCTAGTCTACGCTGTGAACAACATTAAATTCTTTTTTGTTAGTGCGGTGAATTTATTTAGAAATACTTATTCGAATCCATTATGGCAATTTAGTAGAGAATATCTTAAACATTTCTAGATTGATTTCACTTCCACATTCCTAAAGATTTGTTGCTAACTTCTGTACTTATTTTCCACGACTTGTATTAATTTTTTGGCTGACTAAAAAGTACTGCATGTTGTGTAAACAATAATTACTACTGCAATGTTTAAACAGTTTCGAATTGTGTTTGACGTATGTTTAATAGAATTGTTTTATATGTATAAAAAGCAAATTATTAGAATTGATTAAAGAAAACTATAACTCTATTCTCTATAATTCTAGTTCTTATTATTCTTGAAAGAATTTTATTTGGCAACTTATAGACCATAGTTTACACCGTATGCTTAGTTCTGTTATTGTATTTAAAGTAATTTTTGCAATAATGAAAATGTTTTAAACGCAAGAAATGTTTTGTACGCAAGTTGAACAGACCTATATAATTTAAAGTTGTCTATTGATACAATTTACTTTCTAATTGTGATAACAATACAAGCAAAACTGTGTTGCAAGTAGATTATAATTGGTCATTAAAACTGTCAGTTAAACAAAAAAACTGCATTCAGTTACCATATTTTTCTACAACTTCTCTGTACAATACAACCACAAATGAAAGTGCTCCTGCGGATTAAAAGAAAGTTAAATATTTACACCTTCTCCATAAATATCACATAGGTACCTCATTTGTTGTTTCAGTAGCATTTCTTCTTTTTCGGTAAAAGAAAAGCATACGTGTGGGGAATATGCTTTGTTTTCTTGCATCTTCAAAACAGTATAGCTCCGAGAAAAAACTACTAATTGCGATGAATCAACTTTCAAAAGATACATGACAATGTAACTTTTGAGAACATCTTCGATCTTTATATGTTATCATCGAGTTTTGTTTGTTCTAAAATATTTAAGCACTACTTATTGCAAATCGACACGAACATTCCGGACAACCCAATATACAAAGGGCGACACCTAACAGGACAATTTCAAATTATTCATAAGTTATTTGTTATATGACAAAATTTTTCAAACAGAAGTTACATAGTATCAATTTTTTAATGGATTTTTAAAAATTGAGTAGATAAGTATTAAAGCATTACAGATTTAATCTGGGTATTTATTGAGATAGTTACAATGAAATGTTTTATTATAAAAGGTGGTGGAATTGTTGACCGTTATTGCTAATACAGACATCTAATAGTTTGACAAATGCAGTAAGAACCCTTTAATTATTCGGAATTCGGGACCCCCGTGCGACCAACTAGCGAACAGAAACATCATTCCCACAGAAAAGGACAGCGAGCGAATTGAGGGAGGGGGAGTAAGCGTCGACTCGAGCCACGCCGTCGAGTCACCGTTGAAACACCGTCGAGTTAACGTCGCCTCATCAGCGAAGATGTAAATGCTGTTCCGCGTATCGGTGACAATGCAACGGTGACACGAAACTGTTGCTAACGTATTAGTGAGATTTTTCTGAATAAAATGATACCAAATACGACAATTTCGATCATAATTACTCATGTAGAAAAACAGAATCCAGTGGTAGCGACACACACACTGTGGTAGTACAATACAGTAGATCCTCGATAAGTGTGAGGCGGCTCCTTCACAATAAGTGGGAAGTCGTCATCCCCACCACTGGGGAAGGGGGCCGTGGAACCAGTTAACGAGACGACGGCTAAACGAGGGGAACAAATGCAACAATGACACTGTTTGTTTTTGGTTCTTTGTTAACGAAACCTTTACGAACATATTCCTGAGATTCCTCTGATTAAAACGATACCAAAAACGATATAATTTGGACCAGTGATGGGCAAAATTTTTATTTAAATAAAAATCGTGATTAAAAAAATTAAGGTAAAAAAATTTTTATCGTTACTCAAAGCTTGAAGAAAAAAATAACTTTATCGACGAGCGTCGATTAAATAACTTTATTCACCGAGAATTATCCGATGAGTAAAAGTTACTTTTTGTAATCATGGCGTTTCACTCATAGCGTTGCCGTTACTTGCATCTTTCACTTTTAACTTTATCCGACAACTTCGAGTAAATCTATAAATAGCTTTGAGCGAAGGGTATTCTACGCAAGCATATTCTAGCCTGTCCGTGTGCGCTCTGCTTCGGGTGTCTCGGCAAAAGTCCTACGTCACACGTTTACGACGCGACGGTCGAGTGGCCCAAGCCAGGTCAAAAATCCCAAATCCCAAGCAACTTAAAGTTTACGTCCTAAACGCGGAGAGCTGCATGATTTCTCTCACGCGCTCATGATGAAGACCTTGTCCGAAACCCCGCCTGAAACCCCGTTCGTATCGCGATGCGACGGATTTACTTTTTATTTTTAATTATTGCATAATTTCATTTTGTAATATGTCAGTAAAATAAAAACTTCGAAGATATTGATTCAAGAAGCATTTTAAAAAAATGGGAGATGTATTTATTCCTCTTCAATATTAAAATTTTATATTACACAAATACATATTCTCTTATGTATACAAAATTATTCGTACAATTAGATGTTACCTTCATTCTAAGTATTACAGTACATACATATGAAAACATTGGAAGAAAAATCCATCACATTAATATGTTACGTACAGTAAAATGAAAGCTTGGAAGATATTAATTTGAGAAGCATTTTCAAAATCAGATTTTTTTGTTAAGCTGGTCCACGCATATGCATTTTGTTGATTTGATGTCGGTGAGCATGGATAATATGCATGTACATACAACACATCGTCTTTTCTTTTTGTCCTGTAAATAATGTCACAAGTGTTCCGTCCTCAATATGGACTTTCTTTACTCACGGTATATTAATTTCTTTGGGCGGCTAAAATGCTTCTTTCAAAATCTGGGAAATTCCTAACAACCCCTTTTGAAATAGTCGGACAATAATGTATTCGGCGCGCGTATAATTGCACCTAATTCAAAGTCCCTTTACGTTAAAATGGTTTCTAAGAATTCAATACCGTCCTACTTTCCGGTAATAAAGACATTTCCAAATTATGTGTTACAATGAGCCACCGTGCAGTCTCGTTATTGCCTCCATTTACGATAGGGTTGCCCGCGTTGCGGTCAGATACGTCTCACCCTAAGTACCTGCTCATATACGCGCGTCATGGTCATATTCGGTAGTAGTACTATTATTCCAATTGCGGTTCATACTATGTGTATACTTCTTTTCAGACATAGAAAAGTAAAGAACTACTAACATCACATGTGCGTGGACCTACTGCAACGGTTCTCAGAAACGCGAAATATATCATTAATACAAAAATCGTGTTTTTTACTGACATATTCCAAAGTGAAATTATACAATAATTAAAAATAAAAACTAAAACGGTCGCATCGAGATACAAACAGGCTCTTCATCATGAACGAGCGTGTGAGAGAAATCATTCTGCTCTCAGCGTCGGTCCTTTACTTTTCTATATCTGAAAAGAAGTACATATGCACATAGTTTAAACCGCAATTGGAATAAATAGTACTACTACTGAATATGACAATGAAGCGTTTCTCAAATTAATATCTTCCAAGCTTTCATTTTACTGTACGTAATATACACTGAGCGTCAAAATTAAGGGACCATTAAAATTTGCCGAAAATATGGGTCATTTTCAAATGACTATATCTCCGCGAAAAATAGTTATAAAAAATATTATATACGACCATTTTGTAGCCTGAAGTTTCTGGTTTTTGAGTCGGGAATTCAAAAATTATTTTTATG